TACATCGTATTACCAATAATTGTAAATGTAATAAAAAATGTAAATGTCCTCCAATCCAATATGATTTATGGCTTGATAAAATAGTATCTGTAAATGCTCAGGCACAAAGTCATTTAGCAGGGCAATCAATAGAGAAATTGTATAAATTAATTCAAGAAGCGAGGTGCATTATCGTTATGGATAATGATCTTACTGATCTTAATATCGAATGGATTAAAGCTCTTCGCAAGGATAAACTATTTTCAATTATTCATAACACTTATCAGCCTCAGAAAGGTAAAACATTCCGCCTAGCTCCTAATAAAGAAACTGTGTTAGCTGAACTCTGGGATTGGGTCAAGAAAATGTCTTCACTACCTTTTGAGTCTCGGAAAAGTGCTTCACTTATTTGTCATCTCAGAAAAGATGTATAAGGAATTGTTCGCGCCCTTAAGACTGATTTTCCAGAATTGCGAATCAAGGAATATCATGGTAAATCTGATCCGATAGAAAAGGATCAAGATTTTAGCAATGTAGAAGAATCATGGAAAGACTTAGATCTGATTGCCTATACTAGCACTCTAAAAATAGGAGTATCGTGTACCAATCCTAAGTTTGAGCAGGCCTTTTGTTTTTTTAATAGCTACATAGAAACAAATGCAGGAACGAATCAAATGCTATTCCGCATGCGATGCATTAAAGATTATATATGTCACATCGAGCAAAGATCATCTAATGCTCCCATTACAGAAGAAGGATTATTTCGATGGTTATTGAATGCCAAACGTGAATGTCTTCCCCGAGAACTTCAGAATAGAGGAATATTTCCTGACATATGTTCTATCATCAGGAACAAGTATGTACCAACTGTTCGATTATGGGTAGCATATATGTTAGAGAAATTCCGTTCTTATCATTTATTTGGTTGGAGAATGGTCGATTTTCTCCGAAAGGCGGGTATGGGAATTTCTATCATAGAACTTATACCTAAACCTAAAGATAATATGATATCATTATCCCAAACAGTAAAGGTGAGTTCATCTATCATTAAAGCGGAGGAGATAGCAGATGTTTCCAATGCTACTATTATCGATCGTGAAACTGCTGAATTTTTGGAGAATAAACCAAAGAAGACTTTAGAAGAGATGTGGTCTTTAGACTGACATCACATTGTAGATTGTTATGAGATTTTGCCTGAATCATTAACCGAGGATTTTATCTCGAAATATGGGAATTTCAATCATATGAAATGGTTTAGAGCTTATAAGCAATTACGAGATGCTGGTACTGATAATGTAATGGCTGTTGAGGCTATTACCCGTAAAGATTATAGAGAGGATAGACTCACAACTGTGACCCGAGCTGAGAGACATAGTATCTGCTTGGAATTGTTAAAAAATTGTATACCTGTTAAAGACATTGACGATAGGTTAAGATATAAAGCTGATGATGTCAAAACACGCATTGATTCTTCTGAATCGATATCATATCTCCAGGGTTTAGTGCCTAAAATGGCTCGAGTATTTGATAATACAAATGCAACGCGTAGTGCTAAAAAATCGGGACTAAAAACAATTCGGGCAAAACTTGGTTTACTGAACTCAGCACTTTACGCAACATATGGGTTAAAATTTAAGGCTATAGATAAGAATCGTAGACATTATCATCTAGTAGGTTCATTCGATAGTAAAGACGCTCCTAGATTACCTTCATATCAAACGGGTGAAGAAATTTATTGGGAAAATGGAAAAGATACTCGGTATGGGTATAGTAAACTCTCACCTGATAAATTAATATTAGATAATTTTATTAATTCTAGTAAAGTGGATAATATGCATATCACAGAAGATATTCAGGAGTTATTCGATATATGCTAATATTATTCGATTGCAAATCAGGCAGGTGAAGCCTTCTTCCAATTTTTTATATAATAATTCTGAAGAAGGCTTCATCAATCGCATATATTATCAGTTTATGCAATAGTTAAGAGGCCCAAAGACAAGGGTTGAATTGTCTGAGGATTTTTTTACTATCACTGTTATTAGGGTATTCTTCTTTAGAAATATTATATAAATAATGGAAGAAGAATACCCTAACTATGCCTATCAAAAATATGTTATCTAACCTGAAGTTCACTAATAGATATCTCTCTCCTTAGCAGATAATTTAGAGGTCTCTCCGGATTGAAAGGCCTCAACCAAATAAATCTAACCCATCTGATAATTTATAGGTGTCTGTGGGTTGAAGGCTCTCATCTGATAATTCCGAGGTCTTCATAAGTTGAAAGGCCTCAACTCCATACTTCTTTCTCATCCGATAATTTAGTGCATGAAACTTTGCGGAATGACTGGAGCAATACCCTGAATCAGAATCAGTAGGAAATCCACAACCACTAACAGGGCATGGTTTTTTTTTCATATTTTTTTCATATAATTTCGAATGTCTATAACAGCCTATAGGAAGCCAGCATTTATTTTCACAAATA